ATTCTGCCAGAACCTTCTTGCCATCCTCGTGTTTGCTCTTCTTTCTGGGTCAGCTCCCTTCTCTCTCTCCTGAGCACACCAGCTATTTCCACGTGGCTGTAAAGAGTTCCCAAGTTTTATACCCTAGGCATTCTGCCACTGACGGAGGACTAGCCCATACTCTCCCAGGCGCATATGCTAAGCAATAGGAAGGGGTTGTGATGAGTCCCCGACAGAAGTAATTTGGTGCAACTGGAAAAGATCTTGGGAATCTCATGGTCGTACACTGAATAGGGGTCAGTGTAATAGATGCATATTATAGTAGGTGTGTCATCCACCACCGTGCAAGCAAACCTTAATTTTGTACACAATATGTTTCTGAAAATTTAATTGCAGTTTGTAAATCTGAAAGTCAAACAATAGATGGGCTGTTCTTAATTATTGAGCCCAGAAAATTCTGCATGTGTACCTCGATCCCTGAAATTCTGCATCATACTTAGGGAACGATGGGGGCTCGAACCACTGCAGTAGCAGTGAGGAGAGAAACATGGAGAGGTCTGAGCGACCTGTGTGATGTATAGATATGACTTGGTGATTTATCGAAGTGGAGAGGAGTGGGCCGGGAGTCAGTGACAAAGCCCAGATGTCTGCCTTTAATGACCGGTGGAAGGCTGTACCGTTCGTCTACATAATCCAGAGAGAGGTGTAGTGTTCCGCGTGTAGCTTCTGTCTTTGTCCCATGCCAGCCCTGGCACAGGGAGCCTCCACCTTCACAGTCACGTTTATTCAGCCAGAGGAAAGCACCCCGGGCAATCTTTTCATTGAAGGTTTGATTAGAAACACAAGAGGACTGGGCTACATCACACAAAGTCCACGAACTTCCCTTTCTTCAAGGCGCAGGGTCCCTGGCTATGTCCCCACCTGGACCAAGCCTAAGGACCGCTTTCCATTTGTGAGAATTCTTTTTGAATTTTGATGTGCGTATCTCGTTATATATTTAAATTAGAAGAACCCTTTTTATTCTAATTTTCAAAGAGACAGGAGTTTATAGTTCACTTTAAGAGCAGAGTTAAAGGATTCAGTCAGTTTTCTATACGTTGAAACCCTAACTGTGGAAGAAATAATCTAACGTGGATTGGGTGAGGTTACTATTATCCTGTTTTAACTTCACCTTTTCCGAAGGAATGGTCTTGAAATAGAGCTGGGAACTAGATTATTGCCCCATAAAACAGCATGAGGTTACTATTATTCCTTAATTTTATATCTTTATTATGAGGTAATACTTCTCTTACTCGATTCTAAGAGTGTTCTCGTCTTTTTCTCATATATTTGTGAAAACTGAATGTTAAAGGATTTAGCATAACAACCATTGCTGAATTATGATGTAAAATAATACCGTGTCTGCAATTAGCCTAGGTAGTTTTACTTGGTTCAATAATATAAAATCACTGGACTCATAACATTTTAGTACCTTAGTGTGCTTGGCAAAGAAAGAAATTCATGTTACCATAAAAATGTTAAACTAAGTAACAATTAATCTCAATTTTAAGGAAATATAAAGCAAAGTATTATGTTGTAACATGGAACATTGATGCAAATAGCTCCCAAACTGGAACATTAAATAATTCTGAACTAGTGGGTAACCAAAAGAGGCTAGTTTTTGCTTAATTCTCTTATGCTCCAATATCTTTCCTGAAGTCTTAATTTTAATTTCACTTGAGTTATTACCAGCGCTCTGGTGGCCCTTCTAGAAAATGACGACTTCTTTCCTAATGCTCAGTGTTCTTATTTTAATTCTTGTGTATCCTTTCTGGTAATATTACATTGAAACCTTGATCCCATCTTAAAAATGATTTCAGTGTGATAACTGCACGTGTTGTGGGTTGAAGCATGTCCCCTAAACAATATGCACCAGTTTTAACCCTGTCACCTTGAATGTGACGTTATTTTGAAATAGGGTCTTTGCAGATACAATCAAGTTAAGGCGAGGCCTTACTGGATTAGGATGGGCCTACACCAGTGGCTGGTGTACTTTTAAGAAGAGGGCACTTTGGACACTGAGGCACCCCCACACAGAAGAAGGCCGTGTGAAGGCGTGGGCAGGGAGAATGCCACGCAACGGTAGAGGCAGAGATTGGAGTGATGCACCCACAAGCCAAGGGATGCAAGGATTGTCAGCCAACACCAGACACTAGGAAGAAACAAGGAAGCATTCTTTGCTAGAGCTTCTGGAGGAAGCACGGACCTTCCACAACTTTAATTTTGGACCTCTCTTCAGAACTGTGAGAGAATAAATTTCTGGTTGTTCTAAGCCACCCAGTTTATTTCTTGCACAGCAGCCCTAGGAAACTTAGTCAACATGTTATGTTGTAAGTAAACAATTGGTTAGAATGGTATCATTAGTAATTTTGTTATAAGTATTTTATTATTAGGTCAGATGAGTAGGAAAATATCTGGAGGACTAATTCTCGGTATTGAATTTTCTGAAAAGTTAAAGTATTCTCATTCAGGAAATAAAATGTCCTCCAATTTCTTATTCTTCTGCTCTTATACAAAGTAAAAAGTAAAATATAGTCAATTATGTACTTGAAAAATGTAGGGCAAAACAGAACTTTTCTTAAAATAGGCACATATTTGAGACAGAATTTTCAAAAGTTAAGTTATCTGGCTGTCAACTTTTTTCCTTCACATCGTCAGATACATTGTGTATGATTCCATTCACCACTAATTGTGTAATTCATTCGATTGGTATTTATTTATTAAACTCCTAATATTTTCCACGGACTGAGCAGGGTGCTCTAGATAACGCTAGTCAATAAGACCGAGAGTGCCTGCCTTTAGAGAGAGTACTCTGGCTTTGAGATTTAATCCACATAGAAGAAGCCACAGAGGCCAGTGGGGGATGCGTCTACCTAGAAAATTAATCTTCACTATAATATTTATAGTTTTAACTGATTTTGTAAAACCATTTCAGCATCATTTGGTTTTACTTACTATATGTCTCCTGTATTTTCATGGAAAAAATAAAATTTTATTTATTGCACAGACAACATAAAATCAATAATAAAAGTGAAAATTATTGTGTATTAAGTGAAAAAATAAGAAAATTTTAGCTGTGCTTACACTAATATACATGAACTTGATATTGCTTAAAAGGCAAGTTAAAAAATAAAAATGATATGATTAAGAATCATACTTTTGGTTTTACATACTTTTATTATTATGAGTAAAATCCTTGTGACTTTTTTGGGGGGGAAGTTTACATCTTAGGACAGTTAATGTTGGATAAAAGAGTTTAAACATATTTATAGCATTTAAAATGAAGTGACAGATTGCTTTCTAAAAGTATTAGAGAACTTGACATTATCACCAGCAATTGAATGAGGACACCATTTTTTAATTTTTTTTAAATTTTTTTACTGTATCCTTTCTGACAATGATATATTTTACTTAAAATGCTTTGGCTATTGAATATGTGTACAGTAACCCAAAATGCATACTCGTTGCTTAAGTTTACTTATCTCAGCAACCGTGAGAAGGAACGCTTTTCTATATGTTGGTTTATTGTTTACATTTTCTTATAATGATTTGCGTTTCCATAGCCTTGCTTAATTTTTTAATAGGCCCTTAAACTTTTTCCTACCAATTTCTTGGTTCTCAGCATCACATTTATAATATTTCCTGAAGATACTTTCCATAGTCTGTTGTATCCTTTTACTTGTTGGGCTGTTTTTCTGTGTTCACAAAAGCAAAGATTTTTGTGTTGTTTTTATTTAGTTGAATCCGTCGCCCCTTCCTTCTGTAATCTGGGCAGTGTTTTACCGTCCGTCTCACCCAGACACCTGCTAGGATGCAAAGGAACATCAGGGTCCCCGCCTTAAGAGGGCACTTGGCTGGTTTGTCATCCAGGCGCGAGGAGAAGGGCTTTAAACCGGGCCGGGCGGCTGCAGCCGGGGCCGAGCAGGGCCGCGGGGTTCCTGGCGGGTGGGCGTCACCGCGATGGGCACCCCACCCAAGGCCACCCTGCCACCAGGGGATGTTCGCATTGTCATGTGTCTTGATTTTGCTGATTATTTGTGTGTGTGTGTGTGTGTGTGTGTGTGTGTGTGTGTGTGTGTGTATTCAAGGGGGTGGTTTGGCTTTTCTCTGTTATATTACATTGCTTCTATTATAAAATCCTCTATCTGAGAATTAAAAAATATATATATGCCTGCTTTTTAGAGTTTTCTTAAAACTAATTTGCTAGGAAAATTTGTAGTGTATGGTATGGAGTAAAGATGAACATTTTTGAAATAGTAAACTGATTGTCGGAGCGTAGCTGATTGACCAGTTGTCCATCCGGGCTGCAGAGTTGGGCCAAAGTAGGTTCACAGTTGTGAGTACACAAAACAGTTTATTCTTATATTATTACTTACTAATTACTGTATTACTTTCCATACGAACAACTGTGAACCTACTTCTGCCCAACCTTGTATATTTGTGATACTGACTTTATCATAATAGTCTTATTTTTATTCCCTTTTTAAAATCGGGCATGTATTTTATAACATTATATTCTTTAGAACTGAATATGATCACCTGTTAATTCAGACAAAAGTTCCAGGATTAGAAAGCTGTCATATTGAAATACATACTGTATTTTCTCAATCTTATGTACTTTGTAAAGTGAATAGTTAATGAAACTCATACTTTTAATCCATCCATTGTCTAGTAACAGACCTTTCTCAGCAAACCAGTGTACTATGTGTTTGTTCAGACTGTCTCCCACATGGTCCTCAGATGTTTTTATCTGTAGGATTCCCGAGGAGCTCTTTCTATATCCTAACTTAACCATGATGTGATTTTTCAAGATCATTATTTCTAACATATACAGGGACAATATTAATGAATTTTGTTCTTTAAAAGTAATTCTACACATTACCACCTATCATGTAAATCATAGTGTGTTTCGATAATTTTACAAATAAACAAAAAAGGTAATTTTTTCATGTTTCTCCTCTGTTTCCATCTTTTTGTTTTAGATAGTCCATTTTTAATTGAAGGAAGCTGCTTCTACTTGGGAGTGGCAGGAGAAGTGAGAAAACCACATGGAAGACTCCCAGGATTTAAATGAACAATCAGTAAGTCTTAATTCAATCTCAACTTTGCTGAAAAATGTGGTGGTGTCACTGACTACTCAAAATCAGGCTAAAAGGAATATATTGTAAAAAGCAAAAATTTTAAAACGTATCTGTAGTTGATTTTGGAATTCTTTCTTAATACCAAGAAACAGACCTTTGGAAATTTCTGGTGTTCCTGCTTACGATTGTAGTCTCCCTTGTCTCCTTGTAAAGCCACTGGTAGAAAGACTAGGGAATTGAAATCGTGCTAAGTGTTTTAGACAGCATAAACCATTTTACACACCTCCTTTATTGGCTTTATTTCAGACATGCTTAGATAGTGCATCTATTGTTGAATGTCAGAAGCATGAGAAGATAGTGTTTTACTAGCATGCCTAGTGTTCATTTCAAGGATGGCAACCGCGGTCCTCAAGGGCTTTCCTTATGTTGCTAAGCTCTTTGCAGGGTGGAGAATGCACAAAATTGCTGGCAATCTTTCTAAGATTCTTGATTTCTCACAGGGAAAGGATTTATATGGCCTTTCCTCCTAACTCATTAGTAGTGTCTCCATGAGACTAGTTTTTGACTGTGTGGAACTGGAGTCAATGTGAGGTCTTCCTTCATACTCCTTTGGCCCCAGCTGTTCTGTTCACAGACAACTAGTGATGTCACAAGTAAGAAGACGTGTGTACCTACCAAGTGTGTGTTATGCTGACTGATGCTATTTTTTATTAGCTTGTGTGATCATGATTGGATCTTAGAGTCTCATGTTCCTATCAGGCAACAGAGGGCAGTGTGTTTGTGTATAACAGTGTGGTTCTAGAAAAGATTTGTTTGATGAGTTCAATTTTAAAATACAGAGGTATATGTGTTCTGGTGTATACATACATACCATTCCAAGTTAATTTAATTTTTTCTATTATTTCATTTAAAAGAAGTTATAAAGGAGTCTTCACATACATACATGACCATTGTTTAATTTCATATATATTGTATTATTATTTAATTTCACATAGAATCAAAGAGTAACAAAAATTATAAAACTATTTAAAAAAATCTGTCCTATGGTAGAGATGTTAGTTTTCAAGATTTACTTGACCTTTTTAGAAAAGTAGACAAATGGCAAGTGGGAGGCTGGGGTTTCAAAGCAGTTTTTTTAATGCTCGTTATTGAACTTAAATATTCATAGTGTGGATCTAGAAAAATGGATGATGCCGTGATGATATGTCACCCCTGCTCTTGCATGTTTAAGGATCCCGGTGGTGTCAGAGGTCTGTGTGACCATGTGTGTACTTGAGTGAACGATGATGTCCTCTTAACGGTAATGCTTCATGAGAAGGCTACTGTTGATTTGTATTTTGTTCTGACACACTCAGGGTTACTTAAAAGTTTGTGTGCGTGTGTGTGTGCATGTGTGTGTGTTGTTAGATTGACCAATTGTCCCTGTTTTCCAGAGACCAGGGGTTTCCCAGGACATGGAACTTTCAGAGCTAAAATAGGTAGAGTCTGGGATGGGTTGATCCAGTTAATCATGTTAGGGTGTGTGTGTATACTCAGGCACACATTTTTGTTTTTAATGCAGTGGAAGCTAAAGAAAATACGTTTTTATGTTTAACATTAGAGTGAGGTTATTACCCAAGGTGCTTCATACCGCCTTTTGCAAAAAGAAACCCAGCACTCGTAGACCAAATATAATTTCCTCTTAGTGGTATTTTAGAGTAGTGGAGCTCAGTATTTAAAAACATTTTAAGTTTCTGGTGTTGCCAATGTGCAGTCATGGTGACCTTCTGGCCTCTCAGCTTGAACCCAGCTGCCGAATTTGTGGTGAGAATGGAAGAGATTTTGAGACAGGGGAAGGATGCTCTTCACTGTCTGTGTCTCTTCCCCTTTCCCACATTGAACTCCTCACCTGAGGGTATTGAAGCCGCTGATCTGTGCAGTGGTTTGAGGCCATCAAGCATGGGAGCTTCCGTTTAAGCCACAGAAGCTTGATGTTTGTGTCAAGTGCCAGCGGATTAATGGTCCTAATTTTATAAACACCGAAAATCCCTCCTCCCCCTTCAACCCCCGTAGACGCAGAAGACCATATAGGCTAATCTCTTGATCCTGTACATGTGCAAAGGGATGCTTGGGACTGTTAAGTGATCCACCCACGTTGGCATGGCTGGTAAGCATCAGAGTTGGGACTTCACACAGGTCTTCTGACTCCAAGTCCAAAGCTCTCTTCATAATATAAACATGACTTATCGCTTTTGAGTTTTCTTATCTTGACATTCATCACCTTAGAAACGTCAAAAAAGTCAAAATTAACACCCTTTACATTGAAATTATTTCTATTTGAATGAAATATTTAACTGACTTTAAATCTTGCAGAGTATATTAATGTCTCAAAACTTTTTGAAAAAACATACTCAGCAATTAAGATGCAGAACAAACAGGGTAGGATTAAAAGAAAGTGTATAATAAGATGAAAGGAAATTCACTTACTGTAGAGCATAGCTATTTTACTTTAAGAACAATTCTTTCTCTAGGCATTGGCCTCATAAATGGTGACATTTATTGCACATGAGTACGCCATCTAGCATTTTCCATGCATTCTCTCCAATCCTTACTATGTCCTTGCAGTGTAATTGTTATGGTCACCATTTTACAGAAAAGGAAACTGTGGCTTAGAGAGTAGCCAGGTCAAACAACAGTTAAGCAGCAAAGATTAGAATTGAACCCACTTTTATCTGGTCCTAAAACCAATGACTTTTGCATGATACAAAACAGTATAGTGGGTAAGGGATTGAACTCTGAAATCAGACATCCCTGACACTGAAACACTTGATGACCTTTGGGGAATCCCTTAAACTCTGCCTCATCTGTAGAGTAGGGAGGATAATAAAAAAAAATTATATGAAACACTTAGCACATGCCTTGCTTAGAGTAATCACTTGATAAATGTTAGCTACTGTTAGAATTAAATCTGAGAAATTCAGGTGGTGTTTAGTAAGCATGAATTCATTCTTGCATATCCAGCTACCTTCTGGCAACATCCCAACCTGGAACTGGTGAATTCAGTTTTATCTCCTGAGCTTGTGGACAACCTCATATCAAAGTCCTGCTCACTTTTAATTTTTAATATCTCTCAGAGCTGTTGTCTTTTATCTGGTCCTAAAACCTGTAATGGATTTTGCTAGTTATTTAACTTAAATATTCATTCAGCTCCCTATTTTGGATCTTTGTTTCACCTCTTGACTGTCGTTGAGTTAGCTCTAGAGCAATCTTTCTAAAATGCATACTCGATAACGTCACTTTTCTGCTTAATATCCTTTCCAGGCCCTTACTTGTCCTGGAGAGAAGGTCCCAAGTGTGTAGTAAAGCACACAGACTTAATGACTTACCTGTAACTGGCCAGCCTTAATTCTGGCTTCTTTGCGTTTCTTGAATCTCGCAGGTTCTCTGAGGCTTTGATGCCTTTGTTAATGCTATAACCTCTTCCCAAGTGGGCCTCTTCCCCACCAGGATAACTTGTAAATCTTGAAGACTCAATATGGGCTTCACTCCCTCTGCGCAAGCCCCTCAGACGGCTCCTTCTTCTCCGTGCTGTTTCCATTCCCTTGAGCGTTTACCTCTATCCCAGGACTTACGCCACAGAGCTGGAGCCTGACCTGCTTATTTGCCTCTGTACTAAATTACAAGCTCCTTCAGAGTAATAGCAGGTCTTGTTCTTATATACTCCTTAGCACAGTTCTTGCTGATATTCAATAAGTGTTGTCTTCAAAAGCTTTTATATACTGTTAGTAAGGTGTGTAAAGGAATAGCCTGACAAGTTTTAGAAGGCCAAATGTCAGTCAGAATGGATTACCAGGTTATGAATTTATGTTTCACTCACATTTTTAAAAAATTGCATAAAACATGTAATATTAGTTTAACAGCATGCGATCAAAACAAAGTTTGGCCCTTAAACATCGTTTTTCTGTATTTTATCTGTATCTTATTTTGCAGCCTGGATTAGAGGTTCTAGGGAATTTTAAGAGGTGAACAATTAAAGTAAGATTTAACTTTCATGTTTGCCTAAAATTCTGTATTAGGGCTTCAAAGTCCCTTAGAAGTAGTTTAAATTATATCCAATTATAGCTTACTGCAGTTCTCAGCTGAATGTTGCTCGTGTTAATAGAAATAAATATGAATCAAGATTATACATAGCAGTATCTATATTATTAACCAGAAGTTCCTTTGATACTGTGAAATACGTTATAGTCCCTGTATTCAAATAAAGGCTGAGTAATATTTGTTGTTTTTATAGCTTCTGTAAGAATTCTTACACATCAAGATATTTTTCAGTCCTATTTTGGTGATACTGAATATTCCCAAGGGTTTTTTCAGGTCTGATTCATTCATATTTAAGTAAAAGAGGGAGCCTGGCCTCGATTTATCATCAAGCTGGAAGGTTTGGAAAAGAAAAGTCTTTTGTTAATTTAAAATAATATATGTTATACAATAAAACATTAGTGGCTACTAAGTAAAGTGGGGTAAAATTAAAAAGTTACAATTTATAGGAGGATTGCTTTCCTGAATATTAAATAGTAAGAGCCTGAATATTCCTACATAGGTCAATATTGTTGCTAAATAAGTTAACTTATATTTTTGATGACATATTTTAGTTAGTGAGGTCTAAATTAATTTACATCTATTGGATCCATGTTATATGTTATATTCTTCAGCAGTACATTTAGAAAGTCATATGTATTTGTAGATATCAATAGTATTTATTTTCTTGCACAAAACCTAATAATGCGTATTAAAATTTTAGAGTTAATTTAATAAATTAACCTTTATGCCTCTGTTTTCTCCCTTAGAATTCCAAATCACTTTAGATTATTACCCTATACTATACATTCTACTATATATAGTATGTAGAGAGAGATTCTATAGTATCATCTTTGACAGGAGCTACTGGCCCATTTTTAAAACGCATGCTGCTGTGTGAGCCACCTAGGCAGGTTTCTAGCTGTAGTATGGAACCGAATATACCA